TGTTAGACTGGTACAGGACATGTTAGACTGGTACAGGACATGTTAGAATGGTACCGGACATGCATGAGGACAGCAGGTGAGACCAGCTATATTGTATGGTCTGGAGTCAGAGACATGGACAAAAAGACAGGAGACAGCACAGGAAGTGTCATAAATGAAGATGTTGAGGTTCTTCTTGGGAGAGACAAGGATGGAGAAGATCAAGAATGAGATCATCAGAGGTACAGGTTGAACAACTGGGAGATTAATTTAGAGAGGACACACTGAGACAGTGGTTTGGACATGTCCATAGGAGGGACAGTGGTTTGGACATGTCCAGAGGAGGGACAGTGGTTTGGACATGTCCAGAGGAGGGACAGTGGGTTTATTGGTAGAAGGATGTTAGAAATGCAGCTGCAGGAAAAAGACAAAGAGGAGACATATGATGCAGTTAGAGAGGACATGGAGGTAGTTGGAGTGAGGACAGAGGACACAGAGGACAGAGATGGAGGAGGAAGACTCGCTGTGGAGACACCTGAAGAGGGAAAAGCTGAAAGAAGAAGAAGAAGAAGAAACATGTTGAACTTGTTGGAAACATTGTTTACACCAAAAGAATCCCAGGAGACGGCTGTATTTCCAGTTGATGTGCGTTTGTTTCCGTACAGAGAAGGAGACAACAATGTTCTCCATTGTTGCTGAAAAGGTGCAAACTAGAAGAGAGTCAGTGCAGTTTTATTGACTGTTCGTATTTGGACTCAATTATTTCACCTTTGCATAATAAAAGAATCACACTTGGTTTTAAAGAGAGAATTTCATTTCATTTCTATTCAGTTTATTTGTATAGCACCAAATCACAGCACAGGTGTCTCAGGACACTTTACAGGAACTTTCACATACAAAGAAAAGAGCATTAGTGAAGTTCTCTATCTGAGGAAGGTTTACAGATGATCCCCAGTAATCTTTAATGATGCCTTGTTTTCTTTGCAGCTCAGTACATCTTTTGTCCTTGAGACTTTCATTCACTCTAAAGAGAAGGTAACATTCAAAACGTTCTCCTGTTTCTGTTGGGGGTGTGCACGGTTGATGTCTGACTGAGTTTAGTGTTCTGTTCCCTCCAGCCCACCATGCTGCAGTGGATTGAGCTTCTCACCAAGCAGTTCAACAACAGCCAGGCCGCCTGCGAGGTCTGACCTTTAAAATATGATCTCTGGCCCGTTCTCTACATGGTTTTCTTTAACTTGTTTTCCTTTTCAGTTGATTTTATATAAATGATTGCTTAGCTGATTAGTATATTTTATTTATTTCTGTGTCAGTGGTTTTTGGACCGGATGGCTGATGATAACTGGTGGCCGATGCAGATCCTTATCAAGTGCCCCAATCAGATAGTCAGACAGGTCTGTAACCTTTAATGACGTGCAAAAGAAAATGGAAATAGAACACATACACTTTGAACAGCAAGTCAAAACAACGAAGATTACAGAAGCTTAACAAGTTTCACGATGTCTGTACCGATGACTCAGAGCTGTAGCCGTTTCTTTTTCTGCCTTTGTCTCGCAGATGTTTCAGCGGTTGTGCATTCATGTCATCCAGAGACTTCGTCCAGTTCATGCGCACCTCTACCTGCAGCCTGGCATGGAGGATGGGTACGGCCCACTCCCATTATGAAGTCTTTAGTTTTATTTTTTGAACCAGTTGAGGTGTGCAGTGTCTCTAAACGTCTCTCTTGTTCAGCTCTGATGACATGGATGGCCCAGTGGAGGACATTGGAAGCCGGTCCTGTGTCACTCGCTTCGTCAAGACTCTCCTGTCCATCATGGAGCATGGCGTTAAGCCACACAGCAAGCATCTGACCGAGTACTTTGCTTTTCTCTACGAGTTTGCCAAGATGGGAGAGGAAGAGGTTAGTCAAAACTTCTTATGGTGGTTTTAGGAAGATCTTTGTTGATCTGAAGATGCATCAAATAGTTTTCGCACCTAACGAGTTCTGGAGCTGTTGCCAGAGCTACTTCATTACTTGTTCTTTAAAAGTACAGTTAGGAACTGGTTTGGGTTTTTACAACCACAGTGCCAACATCATTATGTCACATTATTTCACAGTTGCCAAAACCACACATCGTCAGTGACTTTAGGTTGTTACTGTGAACTTGCTTTAAAATTGTGATCATTGTGAGTTACTTTTTTAGGCTTGTTCAGAAAATGTTGCGTATTTTAGGCTTACCCCTGTTTATCATGTCTCTGTCCACTAAACTGAAATGCCTAGTTTGTTCGGCCATTGCAGCATCTGTCAACAACAGTGAGAAGGCAAAGGTCCCGCCCCACTCTGCCTCTGGTAGACCAGTTCTTGTTGCCTTTATTGGTCGGGTTGGTCATCTTCCTTGACCAACCTGGGGGAAAACATTCATGCGCCTTTTCCTCTCCCCCTCCCCCTGAAAACTTGGGTAACTCTGCCAAACTAAAGTGACTTGCAGGACCAAAGGGGTAAAGAACCAAAGTTACCAAATCTAAAACAGAAAAAACAACCACTTTCACAAAAATGTGCATGGAATGATAAATAAATGATTTAATATGTATAAATAAAGCAGCCTCACCAACTTTCATTGGGGGGGTGGCAGCGGTAGTATTTTTTATGTTTTTATTAAAATAAATACATAATAATAATTTACAAATCAAGAACATACATTGTAATTAATTTAATAATAATAAATATACATTTAATAAATACACCAAAGTTAGTCATGGAGTTCCTCAAGGTTCAATGCTTGGACCAATACTCTTTACTTTATATATGCTTCCATTCAGTAAAGTTATTAAACAGCATGGGATACATTTTCATTGTTATGCTGATGACACACAATTATATTTGTCCATAAAACCCAATGAATCCAATCAGTTATTTAGACTACAAGCATGTCTTAAAGACATAAAAACCTGGACGACCCTAAATGTTCTGCTTTTAATCTCAGACAAGACAGAGGTTGTGGTTTTTGGACCTGAGCACCTTAGGAATGAATTTTTCAGTCTTTCATTAATCTGTCCTCCAGCTCTAATGTTAAACACTTGGTGTTATTTTTGATCAGGCCATGTCTTTTATCCCCCACATTAAAAAAGTTGTAGAACCGACTTCTTACACCTGCTTATCACTAAGATTACAAACAGCTTGTCCAAAAATTGTAGTTATTGTGTGTGTATTGTAATAGTTTATGGTCTTACTGTGGTATATACTAACTGATGTTTGTGAACACTCAGTGACCTTAATGTTTCTGTAAACTCTCTTTAGAACAGGAGATGTGCACAGTGAGATCCCTCAACACCAGATGGTGGATTAAGAGCCAAAAATAATTATCGATAGTGTTTAAACAGTGTTTATTCTTTCAAGAACATAGTGATTGTAAAGGCAGCTCTGTGTAATGCAGTGAACAGCTTGAACGAACGTGACTGATGATTATAAGTAAAGCACACAAACTGCAGGACGAGGAGAGACCGGGCTCCTGGTGTTCAAATGCTTTTTTAATTTCTAATTCATGTTTAAGTTTTACACGTTACTGGTTAAAGTGATGGAACTGGAAACAGTTTATGCCCGTGTTTTTCCAAGTGGGGGCCATGGCCCCCTGGGGGTCCACCAGGGGGCACGAGGGGGGCCACAGAAAGATGGAGAGAAAATTATAAAAATGCCAAAAAATATATATATTTTTTTTTATTAAAAAAACTCTTCGAGCTGCACAGCAAGGTCGAGATGAAGTTTCTGAAAAGCCCGAAGGAACAGCCCAGCAGCTCTGCTGTGGTGGAAACAAACGAAGAGCTCGTGGCTGGGATTCCAGAGCAAGCGTTACGTTTTACAGTCTGTCATGCCTGAAATGAGTCCTCTGTCTGGAGACCCTCACAAACCAGTGTTTAAAACCTTCCAAACTTCAGCGCCACTTGAGTAGGACTATAATACAGTGTCTAAAACATGTTGGTTAATAACAGTTTTATGCTCGGCAGCTGTAATAATTAATTGAATACAGTGAATGACAAATGAAGAAACTTTGTATTAAAGTTAAAACATTGTAAAAGTCTGTTTCTTTACATATTTTGTAGCATTGTTGGTGGGTTTGCGAGAGGGGCCTCGGCCAGAAGATAATGCTGTTTGGGGGCCATGGCATGGAGAAGTTTGGGAACTCCTGGTTTATGCTATGGTTTAGCACTGAAACCAGTTTGATGGGGGAAAAACAAAAGACCTATTGTCAATTCATCCACCTCGTTAAATGAAGGAATGTAATGATGTGTGCAACAATGTTCAGTCAGGACAGTTTCTTTTATTTTGTTGTTGTTGAGAGATGTTTCGCCCTCCATCCGAAGGACTTCATCAGTCTAAGGAGTCCCATACAACTGTTTTCCCCACTAAGCAGTACACTCCTGCAGTGGACCAACCAGTTTGCTGGTGATGAGATGTTTTCTGGGGGTCCTCTCCCCCGTCCACTCCTCCCAGGCTGCCACAGCCAAAGTGGTTCAAGACATCAAAGTTCATGCTCAGTCATCCAGGTACGACAATGTTGAGTCATTGTTGATTCAGGCCCAGATGAGCTGCTTGGACATTGCTGGATGTTGTACCTGGATTATTGAGCAGGAACCTTGATGTTGATCAGGTGTGCTTTTACATTTGGCTTGTTCTGGGATTATGTCTTCTAAAGCAGAAATTACTTTTTTCCTCAGTTTGAAGTTGACCAAATATGTTTTGTTTATGGCAGAGTCAGTTCCTGTTGTCACTACAAGCCATCTCCATCATGGTGCACTTCTACATGGGAACCAAAGGTCCTGAAAATGTAAGTACATACACATGATTGTGTTTCTTTTGTCTTCCTGGTGTGAATCCAAAGCTCTTCATCATTTTAAGACTGGGTAACAAAACTCTGTAATAAATGCTACGTGTGCTCCCCCAGCCGCAGGTGGAGGTGCTGTCAGAGGAGGAGGCAGAGGAGGAGGATGAAGAGGAGGACATCTTGTCTCTTGCTGAGGAGAAATACCGTCCTGCAGCTCTGGAGAAGATGATTGCGCTCATCGCTCTGCTGGTGGAGCAGTCTCGCTCTGAGAGGTTGGAGCGCAGGATGTGATGGAGTGAATGATGCTCCGCTCAGACTGACTCACCGTGTCTCTCTGTCACCTCCTCCATGCAGACACCTGACTCTGTCCCAAAGTGACATGGCAGCGCTGACCGGGGGCAAAGGCTTCCCCTTCCTCTTTCAGCACATCAGAGATGGCATCAACATCAGGCAGACGTGTAACCTCATCTTCAGCCTCTGTCGCTACAACAACCGCCTGGCTGAGCATGTAGGTTTACAGAACACGGGTTTGAGTAAGAGGCAGATTCACAGAAGAAGGCTCGGACTGTCTGCACTGAAATGTTGAGTTAACCGTCGACTTTCTCCTTAGATCGTTTCAATGCTCTTCACGTCTATCGCAAAACTCACTCCTGAGGTAGGCAGCCCCGTTTTCCATCATCCACATACTACACACATCTGCTCAGCTTTTTAAGTTTAAAGATATACAAATTAACTGTTTGTTTTGATTTCATTAGGCTGCTAACCCTTTCTTCAAGCTGCTAACTATGTTGATGGAGTTTGCTGGTGGACCTCCAGGGATGCCGTCCTTCGCCTCCTACATCCTCCAGAGGATCTGGGAGGTGCTGCTCAGTCTGACACACTCAAATTCAATCAGCCAGTTAGATTTGACCCCATGACCTTCCTAAGGCACTGGTGATGGAGTGGTATTCCAGTTTTGTAAGACCCTCCACATGTGTACTTCATCAACATGATAATACCCCCCTGTCTGTTTCTTACTGGCATTAAACTGATGAACGGATGAGCCTTAAAGACCTGTAGAACATGAGCCTGTTCAAAGGGGGGGGTTACACAAACACTTACACTTTGGTCCAAGGTGTGCTTACCTGAAACTAAACAATAGGTAAAAGTTGTGAATATGTTCAAAGTCTTTCTTCATGATGCAACATATGTTCATACTTGGTCAATTTTGATTTTAAAAGATGCATAAAAGTCAACAATCTTAAAAAAACATTGTGAAAGACCTTAAAAGACGTGCTGACACAGATAGCATCCGATGAGGTTTAAGTGTTCACGACGTGTTCTTTAATGTGTTTAAATCCGTCTTTATGCGTCCTGTCAGGTGATCGAGTACAATCCATCCCAGTGTCTGGACTGGTTGGCTGTCCAGACCCCCAGGAACAAACTGGCCCACAGCTGGGTGCTGCAGAACATGGAGAACTGGGTGGAACGCTTCCTGCTGGCGCACAACTACCCCCGAGTTCGCACATGTAAAAAGAGCTGCGGTTACACAAACTAAAACTAAAAACCTACTATATATTAAGAACGAGAGCCGTGTGGGTTCTTCCACAGAGTTCATTTAGATCTTTGGCTCACAGTAAGAAACAATCACAAAGTAAATGATGAATCTGTTGCTGAGCAGCAGTTTTTAAACTTGTTCTGTTCGTGACACTAAATGTTTGTGGTCAGACTGACGCGGTCTTTCCTTCCTCCAGCTGCGGCGTACCTCCTTGTTTCCCTCATCCCCAGCAACTCCTTCCGCCAGATGTTTCGCTCCACCCGCTCCCTGCACCTGCCAACCCGTGAACTGCCGTTGTCTCCCGACACCACCGTGGTCCTCCACCAGGTGTACAACCTGCTGCTGGGGCTGCTGGGTCGGGCTAAGCTGTACGTGGACGCTAGCGTTCACGGCACCACCAAACTGGTCCAGTATTTCAGCTTCATGACCTACTGCCTCATCTCCAAGACGGAGAAGCTCATGTTCTCTGGATACTTCATGGACCTCTGGAACCTCTTCCAGGTGTGATATGTTTTTCATCATTTGTAAATCAGTTTTCTGGCTTTGTTTTCCTTGTTTGGACAGAAAGACACTTTAGTTGGTCTGAAAAGAGACGAAAGATCAAAATTCATAATCTTCTTGAGTTCACACCGTTTTTTATTTTATGGTTTTCAGCCCAAACTGTCAGAGCCAGCCATTGCCACCAACCACAACAAGCAGGCCCTGCTGTCCTTCTGGTACAACGTGTGTGTGGACTGTCCTGAGAATGTCAGGCTGGTGGTGCAGAACCCTGTGGTGACCAAGAACATCGCTTTCAACTACATCCTGGCTGATCACGACGACCAGGAGGTGGTGCTCTTCAACCGCGGCATGCTGCCGGCTTACTACGGCATCCTGCGCATGTGCTGCGAGCAGTCGCCCACATTCACCCGCCAGCTGGCGTCTCACCAGAACATCCAGTGGGCTTTCAAGAACCTGACGCCGCACGCCAGCCAGTACCCAGGGGTGAGGGGACACGCCTAAAGCAGAGATCATAGTTACAACGAAAGCAGCTTCATTCTATGAAATGTGGCAAAACCTGAGTGCAAAAGATAAATGTGCGGTTCATGTTTGTGTGTGCTGCCCCCTGCAGGCGGTGGAGGAGCTGTTTAACTTGATGCAGCTGTTTGTGGCGCAGCGAGCCGACATGAGGGAGGAAGAGCTGGAGGACGTCAGACAGTTTAAGAAGACCACTATCAGCTGTTACCTGCGATGTCTGGACGGACGCTCCTGCTGGACCACTCTCATCAGGTCAGCTCACACACACACACACTTGTATTATGGCTGCCATAGTTAGGACTTTTCTCTTCTGAAGCCTGTTCCTGTCTGCTTTCCTCCTAGTGCCTTCAGAATTCTGCTGGAGAACGACGACGATCGGCTTCTGGTGGTGTTCAACAGAGGCCTCATCCTCATGACTGAAGTACGTTTAGGATCACACTAGTTCACATTTCACACAGATCATAGTCCACATGGCACCATCATTTCCCTTGATTCAAAAATCCACCCGTCCATCTTCTACTTATCTGTACAGTAGTCCCTCATTCATGGCAGGAGAGCCGCACCCTGAAGCCCCGTGATAAGTGAAAAACCACACAGTAGGGATACAGTAGTCCAAGTTCAAGTACAGTAAACTTTATATTAAGGCTTTAGAAACTCTTCCCACACTCTTGGAATGTTCTAGACTCTGAAACCTACGTCATTTTAACAACGTTACTAAATTTTACTTAGTAGTGCTGCAGATCAGCAACAGCTCTGGTTCCGGTCCAACTCTGTTTTATTCCAACTCTGTTTTATTCCAACTCGGTTCGTTTCTGCCGACGATCCTGCAGCGATGAAGCCCACAGTCAGTCCACTGAACTCTGATACCTACTCATTTTAACAACATACAGTACTTATATGTACAGGAGCTGCAACATTTTACTTACCAGGCTCTGCAGTACAGGAGTGGCTCGGTTCCTGTCCGACCCGATAGATGAAAAAGGTCCCAGTACAGCATGACTGAAGCCCACCGCTCCATCCAGCTTGATGTGCACGTGCTGCTGCCCAGGATTGAATCCACCACCTCTGGCCTGGTCCGGACCAGCACCACGTGACCAGAACCTGACTGAACCCTGCAGCCGTCTGTCGTCTGCAGCTCCCAGGATCCGGGTCACACTGAGTCCAGATCAGCTGTAGTCCAGCTACTCACAGTGAAGTTACAACTTGAAGGACGAGTTCAGCTTCAGGATTATTTGAGACTTCCCTGCCAGTCCTGTGAGCAGCAGAACTTACAGAACTTCTGACTTTGTTGCAAAACTTTCCCTCCATTTGCAGAAAGCAGTAGTTGAAAGAGCAGTGTTGACTTCTGGGAAGTGAACAGATGGCTTCTGGGTAACGTAGTTCTTTAGACTGGAAAAACAGTGAAGGCTTAATGAAAGGAAACTACAAATGGTGTTTTTATATATATATATATATATATATTATATTATGTACATACGTACATGTATAGTACAAAGTACTGTACAGTACTAAAACAAAACCGTGATAGAGCGAGTCCACGAAAAACGAACTGCGAAGTAGCGAGGGACTACTGTAGTTGGATCGTGGAAGCAACAGGTTCAGGAGAGACACTCAGACATCCCTCTCCGCAGCAACACTTTTCAGCTTGTCCTGGGGTTCCCCAGGGCATTCCCATGTTAGAGAAGATGCACCATCCCTCCAGCGACTTCTGGGTCTTCGCTGGGGCCTCCTACCAGTGGGACGGGCCCAGAAAACTTCTAAAGGAGGCGTTCAAAGTTCTTATGCTCACAGGACTGATGGACAGAGGGTGTTTCAGGGACTGGCAGAAGCTGTTTCCATTTGACAACCTATTTTCTTCTCAGACAACCAGATCTCACCTCCAGGTTTCCTGGTGGACAACCAAGTGAAATCGACATGGATTAAAGTTCTCCGTCACCGCATCAGATTTCTGTCATCTGTAAAAATGAACTGAGGAAAAAACGTGTTCTGCGATGGTCTTTTTAAAGCTATCCAGTCTAATGGTGGTGCAGGAATTAAACTAGCACTGCTTTCAACGGAAAAAGAGAACCAGAGCCACAGTTTGACCCAGTCAGAGCAGAGCGGGGCGTGGCCGGCTGTCTGGTACACACAGGCTGTGCACTGTGTTCCCAGCTTTAGGGCTGTTGTAAACGATCATGTTAGTAATCGAGTAATCGATCAATTATTCTGACGAGTAATCGAAAACTGCATTTGTCTGGTTCTTCTCTTGTAAGAGTTTTTTTCTGATTGTTTCTACGGCTTACAAGACAGTGACTTAAACAACAGGACCAACTTCACCCCAGACCAGATCTGCACCCTGTTGGACCTCTGCCTCTCCACCACTTATTTCAAGTTCAATGACAGTTTTTACAGACAGAAGCACGGCTGTGCCATGGGATCTCCAGTGTCACCCATTGTTGCCAATCTCTACATGGAGGAAGTGGAACAGAGAGCCCTACACTCCTATGAGGGAACAACACCAAGCCATTGGTTCCGTTATGTGGATGACACCTGGGTCAAAATCCAAGCCAAGGAAATAGAAGCGTTCACCAGACACATTAACTCGGTCGATAACAACATCAAGTTCACCAGAGAGGATGCAAACGACAACAAACTGCCTTTTTTGGACTGTTTGGTTCAGATGAAGAGAGAGGACAGCCTCAACATTGAAGTGTACAGGAAACCAACCCACACAGACCAGTATCTTCTGTTTGACTCCCACCATCCACTGGAACACAAACTCTCTGTCATCAGAACTTTACATCGGGCCGAACGCGTCCCCACGAAGACAGAAGGGAAGGAAAAGGAACAGAAACACATTCAAGAAGCTCTTCAAACATGTGGATATCCTAACTGGGCTTTTGTCAAGTCAGTGAGTAAATCTACAAAACACACCAACAAATAGAAAAAGGAGAACAACAGACGTAAAAACATTGTCATCCCTTATGTTGCTGGAGTATCAGAGAAATTCAGAAGGATCTTCAACAAACACAACATCCCAGTACATTTCAAACCCAGCAGGACTCTCAGACAGAGGCTGGTCCACCCTAAGGACAAGACACCCATACACAAACAGAGTGGTGTAGTGTATGCGGTCCAGTGCAGCGAGGACTGTCCAGACCTCTACATTGGAGAAACTAAACAGCCTCTTCACAGAAGCATGACTCAACACAGGAGAGCCACCTCCTCTGGACAAGACTCAGCTGTTCACCTCCACCTCACAGATAAGGGACACTCTTTTGAGGACCAACATGTGCACATTTTGGACCGAGAACACAGATGGTTTGAGAGGGGGGTGAAGGAAGCAATTTATGTAAAAAGAGAGAAGCCGTCTCTTAACAGAGGAGGAGGCCTCAGATTCCCACTTTCAAAAACATATAATGCAACTTTAAAACAGATCCCCAGCCGGTTTTCACACTTGATGGGAACAGAGGGGCCTCGACTGTGAATTAGAGGAACAAAGACTTTAAGAAAGCCCTACAATTAAGGTGTTCATATGTGAATTGCCAATCTACATGTGTGTGTGTGTCTTATCTCGCTCAGCCTTATAACCTGAATCTCTCACTTTCTGCTCTTTGAATTGAGAAAGCTCCTCGGATGAGGAGCAAAACGTCTTCTGTTACAAATAAAGTCCAGTTGTTTTTGTATTGAACGCTTTTTGAATTCATACATGTGATGGTATCATACATTTAGTTAATACGCATGCGCGCACATGCACATTTTGCAATAAGCCTGTTACGTTCAGAGAAGCCGTATGATCATCCTACACTGGCTACACTGATTTTTTTTACACAGGTGTAAAAAAAATCAAAAGCTTTTGAATTGCTTTAATCCCTGCATTAGAATTGTTTTGTTTGTGTATTTAATTGTTTTTTAAATTACTCGTGTATGTATATAAATATTATATATATATATGTGTATGTATATATATTATTACATATATATGTGTGTATGTATATATATTATTATTTACATATATATGTGTGTATGTATATATTATATATACATATATATGTGTGTATGTATATATATTATTATATATATATATATGTGTGTATGTATATATATTATTATATATATATAT